CCTGCTCTGCCCCAGAGGCTGACTCATGTGAACCACATCGATGGGCTCCCTCGTTCTCTGACTCCTGATCAGCTGCAGCCAATGGGGAACACTTGCGGAAGAACAGAAGTGGGATGTGAGGTTGGGGTCCTTATTCCCCTAGCTCCTCATTGCAGGCTGGCTGCATCCTCACTTGAGGGCTGCCGCTCCTGCCAGGTGGCACCAAGAGATTCATCTGAACTGCCCTTCATGAATTTAGTTTCATCTGAACATTAAAACTGAATTTACTGGCCAGGCATGGTGGCTCACATCTGTAGTCCCAGCACTTTGGGTGGCTGAGGCAGGCAGATCACTTGAGGCCAGGAGTTCAAGACCAGCCTGGGCAACATGGCAACATCCCGTCTCTATTAAAAATACAAAAATTAGCTGGGTGTGGTGGTGTGCTCCTATAATCTAGCTACTCAGGAAGCTGAGGCAGGAGAGTTGCTTGAACCCGGGAGGTGGAAGTTCCAGTAAGCCAAGATCAGGCCACTGTATTCCAGCCTTGGTGACAAAGTGAAATTCTGTCTAAAAAACAAACAAACAAAAAAATTGAATTTACACAGCAACATTCCGTTGTGAAATAAAAAGTGTATGTAGAACTGTACAAGTGGGCTGTACAAGAGGGTCATTTAAATTCCCACCTCTGCCTCAGCCCACACCTATAAACTCATAGGATTTCTCTATGTCCAGTTAGTGCAGGATGGAAAAATGGGCCTAGTGTTGACATCTGCATAATATTCTGGCACATGCCAGACATGAACAACCAGTCTACTCTAGCCTCACTTGGAAGAAGCCCTAAAAAGACAGTGGTGAAGCTGGGCAAGGTGGCTCACACCTGTAACCCCAGCATTTTGGGAGGCTGAGGCGGGCGGATCACCTGAGGTCAGGAGTTCGAGACCAGCCTGGCCAACATGGTGAAACCCCATCTCTACAAGTACAAAAATTAGTTGGGCATGGTGGCAGGTGCCTGTAATCCCAGCTACTCAGGAGGCTGAGGCAGGAGAATCACTTGAACATGGGAGGCAGAGGTTGTAGTGAGCCAAGATCACACCACTGCACTCCAGCCTGGGCGACAAGAAGGAGACTCCATCTCAAAAAAAAAAAAGACAGTGGTGAAGGGAAGTCATCTCAGATGGTGGAACTCTGAGCACTGTGCCTGGTTTTCCACTTCTCAGCTAAGTAGGGATGGCCTGAAGGACCAGGCCGGGAATGGTGGCTCACGCCTGTAATCCTAGCACTTTGGGAGGCCTAGGCGAGTGGATCACCTGAGGTTGGAAGTTCGAGATCAGCCTGACCAACAAGGAGAAACCCTGCCTCTACTAATAATACAAAAATTAGCTAGGCACAGTGGGACATACCTGTAATCCCAGCTACTCAGGAGGCTGAGGCACAAGAATCGCTTGAACCTGGAAGGCGGAGGTTGCAGTGAGCCCAGATTGCACCATTGCACCCCAGCCTACAGAGCAAGAGAAAACCTCCATCTCAAAAAAAAAAAAAAAAAAAAAAGGACTGATGGACACTGGCTCGAGGGTTGGCCAGTTGATCAGGGACTAAGAAAGAACAAGATTAAAGATTAGGTACAGGAGGTCTGGTGGGGATGTGGATAGACCTTTTTGAATGGGCATTGAATGTGAAGATTTCTTGTCCTCTGCAAACATCCATCAGAAGGCATTCGGTATGGAGGAGGTCTCTGTCATCTGTGGATGTTGGACTTTTCCTCCCAAAACATCTCAGTTCTTGCTCAAAGAGCCCATCTGCGAAGTGGCTATAGTAACAGGATAGAGGCTATGTATGTGTTCAGCCTCATGAACTGCCCTTCATCCTGACTGATCTGGCTGGCCACTGTCACTGTTAGGTACCCAGCCTGCCAACAGCAGAAGCCAAGTTTGAGAACCTGATAGGACACGATTCTTTTTTTTTTCTTTTTTCTTTTTTTGAGACAGAGTCTCACTCTGTTGCCCAGGCTGGAGTGCAGTGGTGCAATCTTGGCTCACTGCAACCTCTGCCTCCCTGGTTCAATCAATTCTCCTGTCTCAGCCTCCTGAGTAGCTGGGACTACAGGCGGCCGCCACCACACCTGGCTAATTTTTGTACTTTTAGTAGAGACGGGGTTTCACCATATTGGCCAGGCTGGTCTCTAACTCCTGACCTTGTGATCCTCCCGCCTCGGCCTCCCAAAGTGCTGGGATTATAGGCGTGAGCCACCGCATCCAGCCAGGACACGATTCTTTAGGGAGACCAGCTGGCCACTTGACGGCAAGTAAATTACATCAGACTCTTGGAGGAGGCAGCAATATGCCTCCCAGGTATAGACTCTGTCCATATAGGGATATGCCTTCTCTGCCTGCAGCACCCACATCTATGGACTTACAGAATGCTGCATATGTCTTTACAGTATGCAGCATCTCTCACCCTGGGACACATTTTTAGTAAAGAAAGTGTGACAGTGAGCTCATACCTATGGAATTAATTCAGTGGTCTAACCATGTGCTTTGTGTTAGATTATTATATAAAGTAATCAGACATGCTCCTGTGAACCCAGAAAATCAGAGACAGGTCTCAGTTAATTTAGAAAGTTTATTTTGCCAAGGTTAAGGGTGCATCCATGACACAGCCTCAGGAAGTCCTGATGACATGTGCCTAAGGTGGTGGGGTACAGCTTGCTTTTATACATTTTAGGGAGACATGAGACATTAATCAATAGAAGAATTACATTGGTTAGGTCTGGAAAGGCAGGACAATTTGAAGCAAAGGCAGGAAGACTCGAAGCACGGAGGGGTATTCCAGGTCACAGATAAGTGAGACACAAACGGTTGCATTCTTTTGAGTTTCTGATTACCGTTTCCAAAGCAGGCAAGTAAGATGTGCATATATCTCAGTGAGCAGAGGGATAACTTCGAATAGAATGAGAGGCAGGTTTGCCTTAAGCAGTTTCCAGCTTGAGTTTTCCTTCATAAAAAGGAAAATATTTTCGGGATCCAAAATATTTTCTTTTCACACTCCCCTCTCCCATACAGAAGGAATATACTTCCCTACTTCATTTCTGCTGGGCTTAGCCATGTGCATTTACTTTGGCCATAGGATATTGGCAGGTCTGATGCAAGCAAAGGTTTACAATGTGTTTGTGCAGTTGAACTTGTGTTTTTGCTTCTGCCATTATTAGGGAAGCCGGGGCCTAGGAAGGCCAGAGTGACACCGTTTTAAGTTCAGCTCCATCTTGAGACTAAGGCACATTCCTTGCCAGTCATGACCCATGGTCATAAGATGTTTACAGTTGAGAAAACAGCCTAAAGATACCTGCAGGACACAATCCTGTAACAACAGAACGACCAGATGTCCCAATACTCGCAATATATGCTTTCAAGATAATTATAGTTATGCTTACTTACACACTAAAATGTCAAGGACAGTTTTCTTTACATCAACAAAATAATAAATTTTGTCATGCTGTCAGTCCACATGCACATAGGTACAGCCTTTACATAGACAAAACCCCTATATAAGAAAAAGTTAAAACAGGTGGGGCGCAGTGGCCCAGCAGTTTGGGAGGCCGAGGCGGGTGGATCATCTGGGGTCAGGAGTTTGAGACCAGCCTGGCCAACATGGCGAAGCCCTGTCTCTACTAAAACTACAAAAATTCGCTGGGCATGGTGGCAGGCGCCTGTAATCCCAGCTACTCAGGAGGCTGAGGCAGGAGAATCGCTTGAACCCAGGAGGCGGAGGTTGCAAACCGAGATTGCATCACTGCACTCCAGCCTGGGCAAAAGAGCAAGAGTCCCTCTCAAAAAAAAAAAAAAAAAAAAAAGAAGGAAAGAAAAAGTTAAAACAAAGATGGGGCATTCCTTTGCTTGCTTCCTGAGGATACCCTACTCTAATGGAGGAGCTTTCAATAAACTCTCACTGCACCCTGCAACTTGTCTTGAATTCCTTCCTGCGTATAATTCAGGAGCCCTCTCTTGGGGTCTGGATCAAGACCGCTTTTTCTGTGAACAATCACCATGAGAAGAACACGCCCTGACTGACCCACTGGTCCAAGGAAGGTGAGAGACATGGAGAAGACAGGGACCAGTCTTCAGCTTGAGGACACGTCCAGCTGAACTCAGCCCACATCAGTGACCTGCAGATGCATGAGAGAGAATAAACGATTGTTGGGTTAGGCCTCTGAGTCTGGGAGGCATTTTGTTACACCTCTTTATTGTGGCAATAGTAGACTAATACATGCTCTATTATCCAGAAGTGTGTGGCTTAAAATAATAGTGGAATGGCCAGGTGCGGTGGCTTAGGCCTTTGGGAGGCCACGGTGGGAGGATCACATGAGGCCAGGAGTTCAAGACCAGCCTGGGCAACATAGTGCGACCCCCCGTCTCCACAAATTTTTTTTTAAAAATTAGCCTGGCATGGTGGGCGCACGCCTATAGTCCCAGCTACTCCGGACGGCCAGAATGAACAGCACTGTTCGTGTCTCTTCATTCCGATTCTGGCCAGCAAGGGGCGGCCTCCCGCTGCGGCCCTTGCTGTTAGGTCTCCGCGCCCACTCATATTTGCGCTCAAGGTCGCTTCACCGGCCCCCACTTTGCTCTTCCAGGCCTAGGATGAGCGTCTCTGTTCTTTTAATGGGGCGTCCCCCACAGGCCACCGTACCTGGCCGCCGGCTCGAGGTTAGGGCACTTGACGCCTGCGCCGCCATGTTGTCTCCGGGCCACTTCCGCGTTTCAGGCGCGTTGTGCTGTATTTCTTACTTGGTCCTGCTCGCGGCGCCGCGCCTTTGGGTGTTGGGGAGTCTGGGATGGTGGGGAGTCCGGGGCTCGCCCTAGTCGCGGGGACACTGCCTTCCAGGAGCTGTCCTCAGGCAAACTCACAGACATCTTCAAAGAGCCTTCCTGGACATTCTGTTTTTTGCTCCTCAAAACAGGCTTCGGAAAGAGAACAGGCAAACATCACTGCGAGCGCCCCTAGGGCTCCTTTCCCTGTCCCAAGACCGGGAATCGGGGAGGGGGTCCAAGCCGAGTGCACTTAATTAACAAATCAATGAAACAGTTGGAAAATCTTAGTAATATTTTACATGAGATCAAGGGCGGTGACTCACGCCTGTAGTCCCAGCACTTTGGGAGGCCGAGGCGGAGGTGGAGGGTCGCTTGAGGCCAGGAGTTCGAGACCAGCCTGGGCAACATGGTGAGCTTCCCCTCGCCCCCACCCCTCTACAAAAATTACAAACATTAGCCGGGCTTATTGGCATGGGATTGTGGTCCTAACTACCTAGGAGGCTGAGGTGGGAGGATCGCTTGAGCCAGGGATGTCGAGGCTGCAGTGAACTGTGATCATGCCACTGCACTCCAGCCTGGGGCTACAGAGAGAAACCCTGTCTCTAATTAATAAATAAATTATAGATAGATGATAGATGCAATAAAAAATAAAATTGGCTTGTAAATGGCAAACTAAAAGTGGGAATTATCATTACGATGAAACTATTAATTTGAGGAACCGAAAACTTAACTTTCCTTTTCCTGTAGTTAAGTTTAAGCACTGAGATTTGCTTCAGTGATTCCCAGGCTTCTTCGTGATTGCACGCTGCTTCCTTGTAAGCACTTTGTCTCTCACTAAAAAAATTACAGTTATTTTAAAGTCCCCTGGATGCTCACTCTTTAAGGAGGGTGAACAGTGGTAACTCCTGTACAGTTAGAGCTCTGAATGAAGCCAGAGAGATGCATTCCGTAGATCACAGAACCCATTTTCTGGCTTGGTGAGCCTGGTCAAGTTTCTTAACCTTTCTAAGCCACAGATGTTTCAATTGTAAAGTGATAATAAACCGTAGGGCCTTCCCACAGCCCCAGATCTCAGCAAATTACCAGTCTCTTGTTTCAAGCTATTAAATGGGTGCTGTCTGACAGCCCTCCCTGGACACCTACACTCTTGTGCTTTGGCATCCATCCTTTCCCTCCAGTGCAATGCTAGTCGCATCCTCCCTCTGGCTAGCCTCTCCACCTATCTTCTGGATTCCCCACACCTCTCCAATCTAATCTCCACACTCCAGCCAGGGCGAACACTTTCAAATATAAACACAGTCATTTCATTCTCTAGCAACCTTCCGTGGACTGACTTTTGCTCTCAGGGTTCACCTCAACATCCTTACAGGCTTACCAGGCTGTGTATGCTCTGGCTTGCCACTGCTTCTTATTTTTATTTTTCTTCTTCTTTTTTTTTGAGACAGAATTTTGCTCTTGTTGCCCAGGCTGGAGTGCAATGGAGCAATCTCGGCTCACCGCAACCTCTGCCTCCCAGATTCAAGTGATTCTCCTACCTCAGCCTTCGGAGTAGCTGGGATTACAGGCATGCACCACCATGCTGGCTAATTTTGTATTTTTAGTGGAGACGGGGTTTCTCCATGTTGGCCAGGCTGGTCTCAAACTCTTGACCTCAGCTGGTCCACCCACCTCGGCCCCCCAAAGTGCTGGGATTACAAGTGTGAGCCACCACGCCCAGCTATTTTTTTTTTATTCTTTTGAGACAGGGGTGATCCTCCCACCTCAGCCTCAAAAGTAGCTGGGACTACACGCACACACCATCACACCTGGCCGATTCTTTCTTTTCTTTCTTTTCTTTTTCTTTCTCTTTTTCTCTTTTTCTCTTTTTCTCTTTTTCTCTTTTTCTCTTTTTCTCTTTTTCTTTTTCTTTTTCTTTTTCTTTTTCTTTTTCTTTTCTTGTAGAGACAGGGTTTGGGGAGTTTTGCCCTGTTGCCCAGGTTGGTCTCGAACTCCTGGGCTCAAGGGATGCGCGCACCTTAACCTCCCAAAGTCTTGGGATTACAGGCGTGAGCCACTGCGCCCAGCCCTATTGCTTTTTAAAGGTACAATTAACTTTAGCCCAGGCTAGCTGCTTCACGGAATTGATCTGGGTATGATGTGGGATTTGGGATAGCTGTTAAGAAAGGTGAAGACAGAGTCAAATAGAGAAGAACATTTTCTCTATAGAGGTGGGGAAACTTTCAAAGCAGAATTAATTGTGTCCTCTAAAAGCAATGAAGTCCTCTTGGTTAGTTTGAAGAACGATCTTGTATCACTTTATAGAAATTGAGACTTTTTTTTTTTTTTTTTTTTTGGAAACGAAGTCTCACTCTGTCCCCCAGGCTGGAGTGCAATGGCACGATCTCGGCTCACTGCAACCTCCACCTCCCAGGTTCAAGCAATTCTCCTGCCTCAGCCTCCCGAGAGCTGGGATTACAGGTGTCTGCCACCATGCTTGGCTAATTTTTGTATTTTTAGTAGAGACGGCGTTTTTCCATGTTGGCCAGGCTGGTCTCGAACTCCTGACCTCAAGTGATCCACTTGCCTTGGCCCCCCAAAGTGCTGGGATTACAGGCGTTAGCCACTGTGCCCAGCTGGAATTGAGAGTCTTAAGGGGTCTCTTGGGGTCTCAGAAGCTCAGCTGATGATATTTTAGTTAATCAGGTTTGGGTTTTTGTTTTGTTTTGTTTTGTTTTTTGCTGTTAGGTCATAAAAATATTTTCACCCCAAGCCACAGAATCCTATAAAATAGTTCATTCTTGGACAAATTCAGTAAACATAAAAGAGCCCTTTTGAGTTTCTATTTACTCAAGATGTTTGCAGTGATGAAATCTTGATGTAAATTTTCTAGAACTTTCAAAGCTCCTTTAGAAACAGTCCTTTGTGTTGTTTTTATTAAACTCTTCGATGAGCACAAAGTTTTTATGTTGTTCACACAAAATTTAAATAAGGAAGCCGAAGGTAGGTGGGAACCCCCAAATGGATGGTAACAGAAAACCTCCTATAGCATTTCCATAGATTGGTTTATTCATTATGCAGCTTGGCTCAGCAGAACCATTTTATAATGAAACTGCAAGATGACTCCCAGCGGGCAAATCAACCTCTATTCTAAAGGTTGATTCTTATCAACTGGGAGAATTGATTCCTGATGAGAAATGCTAGACAAAAAACCCTCCCACGTTCACTCTACAAGCCAGATCCAATATCTTTAATCCTCTCATGGAAAAGAAACAAGGAGACATTTCAGGGCTTACAACAGCCTTCCAGAATAATTGCAACAGTCTCAGCATCAGGGGCCAAAGGCATATTGACATCTTTCCAACTGGAAGTCAAAAACAGGTTATCTGGAGTGAGACAATCTATATTTTAAACTTGGCCAGAGCACCTTGGATTTTGGATTTTTTCTTTTTTTTTTTTTTTTTTTTTTTTTTTAACGGAGTCTTGCTTTGTCTCCCAGGCTGGAGTGCAGCGATGTGACCTTGGCTCACTGCAACCTCCGCCTCCTGGGTTCAAGCGATTCTCCTGCCTCAGCCTCCCCTGTAGCTGGGACTACAGGCATGCGCCACCATGCCTGGCTAATATTTTTGTACTTTTAGTAGAGATGGGGTTTCACCATGTTGATCAGGCTGGTCTCCAACCCCTGACCTCAAATGATCCACCCATCTCAGCCTCCCAAAATGCTGGGGTTACAGGCATGAGCCACTGTGCTAGGCCAGCACCTTGGATTTTTAACCACCATCCTAGATCAGGAAGTTTAAATTTCTCTCCATATTAAAATTTTCCTTCCTCGTATTTATTAACACATTACTATTTGATTAATACAAATTATTTGTTAATACAAATACATTCTATTTGATTCACGTTTTGAAGCAAAATTCCTGATAATTTTAAAATTGTGAGAGTTATTTCTTTCTATGCATCTTATTGCTAAGGTCATCTTAGCTGATAATTAATTGGACAATATGGTGGTAAATCCATACTGGTCTTTGACTCTGAAAACAGTCTTTCAAATTCCACTGGTCCTTTCCACTATTTTGACACGACTTTAAGATGTTACCCAGACTCTTCTGAGGGCAAAGAATATGTGTGTGCATATAAATGGCCTAACAAAACACACCACTCTGTCTATAGCAACAGGAAGTCCCCATCTCTGGGCACTGGCAGTCACCCAAGAGGACGATGTGAAGAGCTGCGGTTGCTGCTCTAGGGAGAAGCTTGTGGGCTTGGGTGAGTCTCAGTTTGGGAGGCTTTGTGACTTAAGCAGGAAAAATATTAACTCAAATTACTCCTTCTGGCCTAAAAACCATTTCTATTTTTTATTGCTTAATTTTTGAAATAGAAAATGTGTCCATATGGTTCAGTATTTTTAATTTTAAAAGTATGGAAAGATAATTCAATATTTAAAGGTCTCACTCCTCATAACAACTTTCACTTGTCTCTTTTTTTTTTTTTTTTTTTTTTTGAGACGGAGTTTCACTCTGTCGCCCAGGCTGGAGTGCAGTGGTATGATCTGAGCTCACTGCAAACCTCCGCCTCCTGGGTTCAGGCGATTCTCTGCCTCAGCCTCCCGAATAGCTGGGATTGCAGGCATCCGCCACTACACCCGGCTAATTTTTGTATTTTTGGTAGAGACAGGGTTTCACCATGTTGGCCAGACTGGTCTCGAACTCCTGACCTCGTGATCCACCTGCCTCAGCCTCCCAAAGTGCTGGGATTACAGGCATGAGCCGCCATGCACGCCCTACTAGTCTCTTTTATATCTAGAGATTCTTGTTGAAATATGACTATATTCCTCTCAATCTACCTCCTTTATTCCTTCCTTCCTTTCCTTAAAACAGCTTTTTTTTGGGTTTTGTTTTGTTTTAGGCATAAATAATATACAACAGCCTGAGCACTGTGGCTCATGCCTGTAATACCAGCACTTTGGGAGACTGAGGCAGGCGGATCACCTGAGATCAGGAGTTCAAGACCAGCCTGGCCAACACGGTAAAACCCCGTCTCTACTGAAAATACAAAAATTAGCTGGGCATGGTGATGCATGCCTGTAATCCCAACTACTCAGGAGGCTGAGGCAGGAGAATCTCTTGAACCCAGGAGTTGGAGTTTGCAGTGAGCCAAGATGGTGCCCCTGCACTCCAGCCTGGGCAACAGAGTGAGACCCTATCTCAAAAGGAAAAAAAAAATATATGACAAAGTGCACATATTTAAAATGTGCAATTTGATATGTTTTAACTTATATGTATACCTGTGAAACCATCACCACAATTGGGGATAGGGAACAAATCCATCACCCCAAAAAGTTTTCTAATGTATTTCCCTAGTGACTAATGATGTTGAGCATCTTCTCATGTGCTTTTTTGCCTTACCTATATCTTCTGTGTTGAAGTGTCTGTTCAGATCTTTTGTGAGGACAAAGTACGGTTCCAGGTAGGGATCTGAGTTCATTTTTTCGCGTGTGAATATCAAATGTCCCGGCACCATTTATTGAGAAGGCCATCCTTTCTCCACCTCATCGCTTTTGTAACCTTGTTCAGTATCAGTTGTCCATTGATGTATGGATTTATTTATGGACTCTATTAGGTTCCATTGATCTACCTGCTCTCTTTAAGCCAATACTATGCTGTTTTGATTGCTGTAGCTTTATAACAGTTTCCTCTTTTTTGGCCCTAATTTCACATTTATTTTATTTTTAAAATTTTGACTTGTATTATAGATTAAAGGGTATATGTGCAGCTTTGTGGCATGGGTAAACCGGATGACTCTGAGGCTTGAGGTCCCAACGATCCTGTCCCCCAGCCAGTCAGCATAGTACTTAACAAGTGGTTCTTCAGCCCATGCCAGTAACAACTTTCAAAATCAAGTCGTGTTCTTCCTCCAACTTTGTTTTTCTTCTGCAGAGTTATTTTGGCTATTTTAGGTCCTTTGCATTTCCAGATGAATTTTAGAATCAAATTATCAATTTTTACCAAAAAAAAAATCTCATGGGATTTCAATTGGAATTGCATTGACTCTACACATCAATTTAATCGCCTCCTCTTTTTTCTTTTTTATATGAAAGGTTGTCGCCACATACACAATTCTGTACCTGACTCTTCACACTCCACAATGAATGGAGATCTTTTATTCTTCTCCCTTAGCTCCCATTATAGTTTCATTGTATCCTGTTATTGGGATGGAACTTATTTCATTTAACTGTAGTTAAACTGATGGATTGCTAGCTTACTGCCTGCCGATATTTTGATTATACAATCACTGTACATGTCATTTCCGTTGTGGGCAAATATATCTGCAAGATGAATTTGAGAAGTGTGATTGCCAAGTCAAAGGGAATACACACTTAAAATTTTAATGGCAAGGACTGAGCGTGGTGGCTCACACCTGTAATCCCAACACTTTGGTAATCTGAGGCGGGCGGATCACAAGGTCAGGAGATCGAGACCATCCTGGCTAACATGGTGAAACCCCATCTCTACTAAAAAAAGCAAATACAAAAAATTAGCTGGGAGTGGTGGCACGTGCCTGTAGTCCCAGCTACTCGGGAGGCTGAGGCAGGAGAATAGCTTGAACCTGGGAGGCGGAGGTTGCAGTGAGCTGAGATTGCACCACTGCACTCCAGCCTAGGTGACAGAGCGAAACTCTGTCTCAAAAAAAAAAAAAAAAAAAAAAAAATTAATGGTTATGGCTAAATTGCCTTTCCTAGAGTTTCAATTTATATACTTTTCAGTAATAAATTAGAAGGCTTGTTTTGCCACAGCCTTAACAGTGCATTACCAAACTTTCTTGTTTTTGCCAAATTAATAGGTGAAGATGACTTGTCAAAATCATTTTGATTTGCACTGCTTTATTTCAGGTAAGTTTAAACATCGTTTCATGTGTTTAAGAGCCATTTGTATTTCTTTTTTTTTGAGACAGAGTCTGGCTCTATTGCCCAAGCTGGAGTGCAGTGGTGCAATCTCAATTCACTGCAACCTCCACCTCCCAGGTTCAAGTTATTCTCCTGCCTCAGCCTCCCTAGTAGCTGGGACTACAGTTGCACACCCAGTTAATTTTTGTATTTTTAATGGACATGGGTTTTCACCATGTTAGCCTGGCTGGTCTCGAACTCCTGGCCTCAAGTAATACGCCCACCCCGACCTCCCAAAGTGCTGGGATTACAGGGATGAGCCACCGAACCCCGCCCCATTTGTATTTCTTTTTCTCTGACTTTTTTTTTTTCCCACAACTTTGACTGCTATGGTCTGAAGGTTTGTGCCCCCTTAAAATTCATATGCTGAAATGCTAACCTCCAAGGTGATATTAGGAGGTGGAGACGTTCAGCGGTGATTAAATCAGGAGGGATTATGTCTTTATAAAATAGTCCTGAAGGAACTTGTTGGCCCCTTCCACCATGTAAAGACAGTCAGAAGGCACTATTTGCGAACCAGAAAGCATTTCCTCAGCAGACACCAAATCTGTCAATCCCTTGACCTAAGACTTCTAGCTTCTGCCAGAACTGTGAGAAAAAATTTCTGTTGCTTATATAAACCATGCAGTTTGTGGTATTTTGTCATAGCAGCCTGAACTAAGACTTGCACACTTTTTCTCCGTTTTGCCATTTGTCTTTGCTTATACCTTTTTTTCTTTTTCTTTTTTTTTGCCATAATGGGGGTTTTAAAAATATTTACGTATTTGAAATTATTAGCCTTTCCTTTGAGGCTTTAGATTTTTAGTCTTAATTAGAAAATCTTTCCCCACTCCAGTATTTGAATTTCCTCGTGATTTTCTTCAAGTACTTTTATGAGTTTTTTTTTGTTTTACATTTAAATCTCTTTATTATTTGGAGTCTATTCTACTACAGTGCATGATATCTAATTTGTTTCCCTCTTGTCTCAACACTGTCTATTTAAAAGTCCATCTTTCCCCCACCCACCTTTGATGCCACTTTATATAGTAAATGTTCACGTGTTTGTGTCTATTTCTGGATTTTCTATTCTGTTCCATGGAATGTCTGTGTCATCATGTATCAGAACCATACCACTGAAACTGCTTTTCAAATTACAATATGGCATAATATCTGGTAGGAGTAGTCTCACCTCATTGCTTACAGTTTTCTGACATTAATTTTTCCATATGAACTTTTGAATCAGCCTGTCTATTACAGGAAACTGTTGGCATTTTTATGAGGACTATATGCCATTTTTAAATTATTGTAGGGAGAATCAACCCTTTCTAGTATGGTGTTTTTTTTTTTCTGTTTTTTTTTTTTTTTTTCTTTGACACAGTCTTACTTTGTCACCCAGTGCTGGAGTGCGGTGATGCAATCTCGGCTCACCACAACCTCGGCTCACCACAACCTCTGCCTCCTGGGTTCAAACAATTCTCCTGCCTCAGCCTCCCAGGTAGCTGGGATTACAGGTACATGCCACCACCCCTGGCTCATTTTTGTATTTTTAGTAGAGATGGGGTTTCACCATGTTGGCCAGGCTGGTCTCCAAATCCTGGCCTCAGGTGATCCGCCTACTTCAGCCTCCCATAGTGCTGGGATTACAGGCATAAGCCACCGCACCCAGCCTCAATTTTGATGACTTTCCCTGATGACTAATGATGTTGAGCATATTTTCATATGCTTATTGACCATTTATATCTCTTTTTTTTTTTTTTTTTGAGGTGGAGTTTCTCTCTTGTTTTCTAGGCTGGAGTGCAGTGGCTTGATCTCGGCTCACCGCAGCCTCCACCTTCCAGGTTCAAGCAATTCTCCTGTCTCAGCCTCCCGAGTAGCTGGGATTACAGGCACACGCCACCATTCCCGGCTAATTTTTGTATTTTTAGTAGAGACAGGGTTACATCATATTGGTCAGGCTGGTCTCAAACTCTGGACCTGAGGTGATCTGCCTTGGCCTCCCAAAGTGTTGGGATTACAGGCGTGAGCTACCCACTGTGCCCGGCTATATCTCTTCTTTGGAGAAATATCTAATCAAGAAAATCATTTTTGCTGTTTCTTTTTGTTTGTTTTTTTCTCTGAGATGGAGTGTCACTCTTGTTGCCCAGCCTGGAGTACAATGGCGTGATCTCGGCTCACTTCAAACTCCGCCTCCTGGGTTCAAGCGATTCTCGTGCCTCAGCCTCCCAAGTAGCTGGGATTACAGGCATGCACCACCATGCCCTGCTGATTTTTATTTTTAGTAGAGATGGGTTTCTCCATGTTGGTCAGGCTGGTCTCGAACTCCTGGCCTCAGGTGATCCGCCCGCCCGGGCCTCCCAAAGTGCTGGGATTACAGGCGTGAACCACCGTGCCCGACCTTTACTGTATTTTTTAGCAGAAAAAAAAATGATTGCATTACAGTGGTTATTTTTAAGGGCCCCAACCTCCACTTTGTCCTGAGATCTATGTTGTATTGTCTTCAGTGTTTTGACAGGCCTTTTCATTTTTATAAATGCCCCAGAGTTATAGTGCAGCCCTAACTTTCTAGCAGGACTCTTAGGAGCTGACGGTTTTCCTAAGTTTCATTCACATCACATGAAGGCAGCAATTGTTAAAATATATTTCGATTCCATTAGGGTACATTTTGCTATCACATTGAAGTCTCTCAAGAATCATTTTATTCCCATCAGATGTTGTTACTGAGCAGTTTCTGGTGCTGAACATGAGTAAGAACCTTTAGGTGGTGCTCTTTGATTGAAAACATTTATCCCTCAAACAACTTAAATACAGTAGTATATTGCAGGAAAAAGTGACTTTTTTTTTTTAGGGATGATCTCCCAGGTTTACTCGATTTTCCTGCCATTTATATTGCAGAGGCTAGTAATTTGCCCATCTCCTCCAACCCCAAGCACCCCAAGACTGATATTTTTCTATAACCTGCTGCTAATTATGCCTCCCAAAGAGTCTCCCATCTCTGACGCAGAGAGAACCTTCTTAGTGGGGTCACGGCTTCCCTTGCAT